TGCCTAAAAGATATCCCATCTATGCTTGTTACACCTTTTCTCAGGAAGAGATCGCGAAGATAGTTTTGTTTTTTTTTAAATTTCTATGGACTCGATATTTTTCTTCCTGAACAGTCTCAAGGTGAACCAAGAGATTAAAAATAGTCCATAATATGTTATTATTCTAAGATATTAGTCACGTGATACTGTTGGATTTGTACTTCCCAAGCATCTTTCACCTGAGAATTTCTATATGCTTTCCGAAGTTAATATTGTTCCAATGGATAAAAATAAGAAAGTCCAAACTGGGAGGGGGAGACATCAAATCAGTAGGCTCTAAAAAGACCTCACCAGCTCTAACTTTCTATCCTATCTAGCTGCTGTGTGATATTGGACAAGTCACTTTCCCTCTCTGAATCTCAGCTTCATAATTTATAAAAGTGGGAGGTCAGATACTTTCGGGCTTTAACATGAGACACAGCTAATACTCCGCTCTCCTTCGAAGGAGGCCTATGACATTTAATTATAGTAGATCTTGGCCTTTGCCTATTTGACATCCATGATTCTGACTATTCTCAGAGACCCCAAAGGTCCATGAACTGCAATATTCTGTTATTTTGCAGAAACACGCCGTGAGCCTGGGACACGGAGCAGACACGGGTTTAGTGAGTGAGATTAATGTGCCGACAGCATGCCTGTGTATCTCCACGAGGTTTTGCTACTGTTTGCAGGAGGCTCAAAGGCCATAATTCTAAGGATGTACTGTAGTGGTAGTCACAAAGGTGGGTATTCTTCTAGATCATGATGTCAATAGGATCTCTCTCAAATGTCAAGCGTTTATTGTAATGTGGGATTAAGGGCATCATGTACCCACCCCCGCTCCGTCTGCTTCACTACCATGTCCTCAGTGAAGGTTGCTTTAGAAACTTCAGTGGTGTCACACACACAGCAGAGAGCTGAAATGCCATCCTGTCCTATCCATGTATTTATCTCCAGTCCCTAGTAATGTATCTGGTATGTAGCAGACATTTAACAAATGTTTGTTGAGGGGCGCCTGGGTGGCTCAGTTGGTTAAGCGACTGCCTTCGGCTCAGGTCATGATCCTGGAGTCCCGGGATCGAGTCCCGCATCGGGCTCCCTGCTCGGCGGGGAGCCTGCTTCTCCCTCTGACCCTCCCCCCTCTCGTGCTCTATCTCATTCTCTCTCTCTCAAATAAATAAATAAAATCTTTAAAAAACAAAACAAAACAAAACAAATGTTTGTTGAGTGACTGAGCACCTTCGATGAGCAGGCACCTTGCGAAGGTGCATTTTCTTCATATTTGTATGTAGTACTTATGCTCCTGCAGGAGAGATATCACTATTCCTGCCATTCCAAGAGAATATCTGGGGTTTGGACAGGTGAAATGACTTGTTCAAGTTACCCAGTTGGTGAGTGACAGATTCACATCTGTTTGTCAGACTTCAAAGTTCATGGTTTTCTATCCTACCGTGGTGCTAAAGGACATCTTTGAAGAAGGAAAGCATAAAACCAAACGAGTGAATTCACAGCCCAATAATATTGGCAGAGCATAGGCTTGGCTTCAACCTGAATCGGTTTTGAGAAGAGTATATTGAGGGCAACACTGTCAAGGCTCCCGGGCTTGGCAGGCAAAGCAAGTTACACAGAGAGGGAAGGATTGGAAGGTGGAACTGCTCCAGGAGCCTCACCCGGCTTCCGTGTAGGTGCCCTGAGGGTTTCAATTTCAGTTTCCAGGTTGGGGCTACAACGAGCAAGCTCTCAGCATTGGAGCTGGATTCTAGCTCAGTTGGAGTCGCAAGCTAGAACTGGAAAGCAAGCCTTCTTGATTCAGTTAAGCAAGTCATTTGAAAAGCCACTTTCCTCCCCAGGCCTCATGGTTTGGCCAAGAGTTTTAGAGCATTTCAACTCTAAGCTGGGACCAACAGCATCAGGAGCTTGTTAGAAATCCAGAATCTTGGGCCCTACTCTTGACCTTTTGAATTGTAGTCTGCATTTCAGCAAGCTTCCTGGATGGTTCAGAAGCACGTTAAAATTCGAGAAACACTCCTCTAAAAGATATTCTTTTTTTTAATTTTTTTTTAAAGATTTTATTTATTTATTTGAGAGAGAGAGAATGAGAGACAGAGAGCATGAGAGGGAGGAGGGTCAGAGGGAGAAGCAGGCTCCCTGCCGGGCAGGGAGCCCGATGCGGGACTCGATCCCGGGACTCCAGGATCATGACCTGAGCCGAAGGCAGTCGCTTAACCAACTGAGCCACCCAGGCGCCCTCTAAAAGATATTCTAAGGTCTTTTCTGGCTCTCATATTTTAGGAGTTTGGATTAGAAATCTTCATGGTAACCCCAAAACTAGCATGTTTATTAATTAGGGTCACATAGAGATCCAAGTAACCCAATCACCTCAACAGTGTCTTCTGAAGAATATTGTTAATTCATTGATATTGTTATTAATGGCCTCATTTACTAAGCACATACCATATACGAACAACACTGCATACAGTATCTTGAATCATCATGACAGCCTTGCAAGAGAAATATTATTATCCCTACTCTACTAATGAGGAAATAATCTCATAAATTAATAAAATCTCCCCTGACTACCTGGTTAAATCAGACTACAGCCAGAATCTTAACCCAGAGTACTTACAGCCCATGCTTTTTCTGCTACATCACACTGCCTCTCATTGTAAAATTAAAATCTAAAGTCTCAAGGGTAGGGCTATGATGTGAAGACAGACTACTAGCAGGTTATGGACTCATTCTTCTGTGATGAAGAAAACCAAAAAGGTAGTCTCAAGTCTACTGAAGTCTAAAATATAACGCGAAGGAAGAGTTGGCAACATAGCTTGTTCCCCAAACCCTGGAATAGCTGGACCCAAATCGCAAACGTGTGGAGCTTGCGCTACATTTAAAACCAGTATCAGAAGTGATCATTCATAAGCCCATTTACACCAAGATATTATTCAAGCTGAAAACACAAATAGGTTTGAGGAAGGGTTAGTCATACTCAGAGATCTAAAGTGCACAATTGATTGTTAATGGGACAAAGAAATTGGGTGCCAAGCCTCTGATCTGTCCAAAATGACTCTTCAGTGCCTTTGGTAGTACTGAATTGGAGAAACCACTAGTCTGCCAAATCATAGCCAATGTTGTAGTCCTGATGTCATTTAACGCCCAGTAATAACCTCTTACATACTGACGTTGCCATAAACATGAGAAGTTGCACGGAGTTTGTCTTCCCAACGAGGGCCTGTTCTTCCTTTGTATGTATAAACCCTCTCTCCAGAGCACATAGAAATGGACAGTATTCTCTAGGAGACACAGGTTTTTACCTGGGCTAACTAATGATTATCCCTCCCAGCGAAATGACTAAACAGAGCTCTAATAAATCACTATGTCAATGGCTATTTCACTTCAGGAGACAATATCCTTGTTCCATCTTCGGCTAGTGCAAATAAGACCTACGGCTGAGTGCCCATGTCTACGGTTCAGAAAATCCGAGAGCGGGGAGCAACTGCAAAAAGATCCGGCCCTGCCTCTAGGCAAGGAAAGTATGGTTGTTCCCACTTTGCGGATGAGATAGTTTAGTTCTCGAGCGGAGACCGAAAGTCTCGCCCAGAGTCACATTATTAGGGAGGGATTGAGGGAGCACAAGAGCCTAGTCCTCTGGGTGGCTCACTCAGCTCTGTGGACAGCACCATCCAACTCCTTTGGAGCCCCGTGCCTTGCCTGGGCCTGGAGGAAGCGCTTCTGTGATCCCTCTCCCTCGGTCCTATGGGCTCCCCTCTCCGTACGCTCTGTCCTTCACTCTCCTACATGTACGTTTTCATTTCCCACTCAAAGTGTTCTTAGGAGGGTCTTGGAGCAGTCTGGCATCCCCCCTTCCTAGATGCCCCTTTTGTCCTTCTTTCCCCCTCCTGCTACTGCTTTTTGCTTGTGGACATGAGCAGGAATTCAGAGACAAGTTTCCCCCTCCTTGGCCACCCTGGAAAGTCTGGCCTCCCATAAGCTGCAAATCCTGGGGAAAGTCATTCTGTTTCTTCTTCAAAGCTATCCATCTGAGAAAAACCAAACCAAAACAAACCAAAACAAACCCCAGAACACCTAGTACAAGAAGGTTCAATGGGGAGAGCCCTTACAGTGATCAAGGTCATGGAAGTGCAATACCCACCGTGTCTGAAGGGCTAAATGGGCCACTAACCTGAGAAGTATTCTAGGAAAATTCTAGACCGTGAAAAGAGATGACCATAACGAAGATGTATTTTCTCCCACAATTTCTAAGAGGAGCCAGATTTTGGAGCTCACACGTGGGACCAAAGACAGGTGGCCACTGCTCTGGGAGTTCTGCTTCTGCAAGATGCCTCCAGTACCCAAGCTACACTGACTCATCTCACCTAGCCTGGGCAAGTCTCATACCATAAAAGAGCCTACAGGCATTTACAGAGATTGCCAAGTTTCAACCAAGCATGCAGTTTCCAAATTGAAGGAGAGATGCCTGAATTCTGGTTATAAATTACAACCGCAATATGGCCCCAGGGGAGAAAAAGCCAATGCCACTTTCTTCCCCGAGGTTCCCCTGATTGGGCTGGCACTACCTCAGGATGGAAAGGATCAGCCTCGAGGCTCATATGAGCCTTTGGCACGAGGAGAGGAGGAAGGAGAGACCCAACCAGTCTCCTAGTCCCTGCTTAGGCACAAGAATTCTCCAAAATCTGACATCAAAACTTCTGCCACTCCACACCTCCACCGGCCATCATTTTGAGTTCCAGTGGACGGAATGTTCTGTGCCCTTAGATCCTGCCACAGGATTCCCTGCCCAGAGACCATTTAAAGTGAGAAAACGGAAGGGAGGTTTGGAAGTGGAACCTGCCAGGGGTGCCTGCTGATCCTGTACACCTGGGCGGGGACCGAAGTTTGACATTAACGGGGTATGAGGAAGAATTGTAAGGACAGAAAGAGATGGCAAGGGATGAAGGGGGATAGAATATGGAAAGGTTACTTACACTGTTTCATCATTCTTGAACTCCAGCTCCCCGTATGCGTCTTCAAAATCCTCACCACCACCCTTGGCTGTCCCCTCTACTGTCCTAAAGGGGACGATTACTGTGCCCCGGGCACCTGATGTCCGCAGAACCTTGACCTCCAGGACACCAATACTCTCGCTGACATGAATAGTGTCACATTCAAAAGTGAAGATGCCTGCATGGTCATCATCCAAGATGGTGACTGTGGCCACATAAGGGGATACCAGGATGGCCCGAGGCAATGGAAGATTATTGAGTACTATCGGAGGCATCCCCTCTTCTGGCTGCCCCTCCTCTATGCGGACGTTGCTCAGCCTCACAAAGAAGTGTTCGTCCTCCTCAAAAATGTCATCATCGATGATGCCCACCGAGAACTCCTTCTGGGTCTCTCCTGGCTTCAGAACCACAGTGCCCTCTGTGAACTCATAGTCAGCCCCTGCATTGGCAGAACCATCCTCTGTTTTGTAGTCCACATACACGGTCTTGGACATGTCCCCCCCTTTCCTCACCACCGTCAGGAGTACAGCCCCGCAGTTCTCCAGGCACTGGTAAGAGCACGGGTCAAAAAAGACCTTCGAGACAAAGTCCTCAGGCTCATTGGTGTGCACCTCGTTTATGCTGGAGGCCTTTTTGGCTTGTTCTGCTGCATGCTTCTTCAGGATATTGCCTGCGCCGGTCATCATACGGGTAGCCTGGATCCGGTAGAAGGCACGACTCTTCTGTTGATGGGAAAGAGCGTAGTAATTGGCCATCTCTACTAGTTGATCTAAGTCCTTCTCTGGGTGTTTTTGCTTCAGATCCTTGAGAATCCGGATCATCTCCCTGCGGGACTCATCTACTTCTTTCCCTTCCAGGGGCACCAGGTTCCCATCCAGGAAGTGGGAATTCATCATTTTCCCATCCATCTCAATGCCTTTGGGGTGGTCGCCCTCTGTCTCTATGATAATTCCTCGGTGTTTGTCTGTGCGGTACTTTTTGTGCATGTATTTGTAAAAGAGCAGTCGCCTATCTGCCACCCAGGCCAGAAGGACACACACTGGAAAGAAGGAGAGAGTGAGAAGGCCTTCCCAAACCTGAACCACACCAGGGGAGAAGACTGCCAGGATCATATAGAGCCAGATGTAAGCAAAGATGCTCCAAGCAGCAGTGATGAGGAAGACTCGTAGGTGCTTGATCTTGCGAGTCTCTCCATCGGGGATCACATAGACACAGATGCCAATGATGATGAACATGTTAAAGGCTGCACTACCTACAATGGTAGAAGGTCCCAGATCGCCAGCAATGAACCCATGACCACACACCTCAATTAAAGAGAGAAGGATCTCAGGAGCAGAGGAACCCAAAGCCATCAGGGTCAGGTTGGAGACAGTTTCGTTCCAGATCCGAATTGTCGTTGTGCTGGTCTCTCCATTGGGCTTTTTGATAGTCACCTCTCTCTCTTGAGAAGTAATGACTTCAATAGATGCCATAAAGCGGTCAGCAATGATGGACACCCCAAGGAACATGTATATCAGGGCCACAAAATAGACAATGACCCTGGCAATCTTGTCCCCGAGGGAAGGGTTCTCTGGATACCAAATTGGTAGGATGACACCCTCCTTGCAGTCCGATGACTCTGAACAGGACTCATTGTTCTGCCCTGTGCTGGGCACCTCCCCTGAGCCACCAGCCTCTGCCCGAAGACCATTCAGGAAGAGCACAAAAGTAATCAGCCCAAAATGGAGGAAGGCAGAGGTGAGAGGCTGCAACCTTAACCACGCCATACACGAGATTTAGCCGCTGGCTTCCACTGTAGCACCAATGGTCCTCCTGACAGGCCAGAGACCTAGAAAAGATCAGAGAGGCAGGGAAAGGCATGAGAAAAAGGGGGACAGCAAATGGCAGGTTCCCACCAATACAAATTGATGTTGCACCTTGAGCGACATATTGCACTAACACATGGGGCAGTCTCTCACTTGGAAAAAAAGATGTCAGTGGGAGGCACAAATAGCGGCTTTGTCCGCAGGACCATCTGGTGGAGACTCAGCTGAAGAATGGCTTTAAAAAGCTGGGAATATTGGTAATGAAAACATAAGTGATACCCTTCCAGTCCTGTCTCCAAACCCCGCTGTTGTCTGTGAGAGTTCTCAAGAATCAACAGAAAATAAGCCAAGCATGACTTGGATCTTCATCCCTTGTAGTGTTTCTAGGGTTTTCAGGCTTCTTTACCCCCACTGTTTTCATACGCAAGAATTCTGCACATACACGTGCAAGAGTACAGATGGGAGTTGAACTTTTCTCATGGGCTACTGCCCCGAAATAGAACACATTGCTCTGCATGCAATGGCGCCCACCTGGGAAAAACTCCTTCCCCAAATGCAAAACTTCTACAGGCAAGCTGTAATTCTGACATTTCTAGGGAAATCAAGAAGGTGGACAGTGTAGTGGATGCTACCTGCAGGATTGCTAAACTGAGGCCCCTATAAGCTGTGCTCCAGCCCCAGTCCATGGCCGCCTTAGCCCTCCAGCAAAACTTGCTTACGGGACAATTGAGACATTCAGTTCCAGGGAGATGAAAATCAGCCAGCCACTCAAATTCCAAACCCAGATGCTGAAAGAGCCAAGTGATAGAAATCACTATTAATAAAACATGCAAGTGGCTCTCGAATACATTTTTTTTAACTGTAGACAAGATTTGGGGGTGAAATGCAGCCCCATCTGCTGGCCTTGAACCATGAAGAGGTGAGCATGAATTCAGGAGAATGGGAAGAAATTCAGCAGAAGCTATGGATTCAACTTTCCACTCACTGCCTCATTCAGATGCAATGAGAATGCAAATAACCATGCCATAGCTTTGAAAAACAAAAAGCTATTTGCCCATTTTCCAACTCTGCTACAAGCCGGTGGGGTACCTTCAGTAACAGAAGAACGCCAATTTCATCCGTACAGCACCTTACAGGGTTCCAGGTCCTGTCCCCTGTCTCCACTGCTTCCCATCTCAGAAAATGGCACCTCCATCCACTAGGTTACTCATGCTCGGCAGCGAGTGTTCACCTGCAGGCCTTCCTCGGGCTCCTGTCCCTTGTCTATCCAGCACCGACGCCTGGACTCTCCCCCCACCTCTACCAGCACTGTCAAAGCCGCAGTTACACCTCACTTCATGAATCTACAGCGGTGACCTCTTCACTGAACTCCCCACTCCAATGCTTGCCCTTCCCCGCTCCATTTCCTTATACAGCAACAGTCATCTTTTCCAAAAACCCCAAACCTACACTATCACTTCCTTATTTAAAGCCCTTCAGTAGATTCCTCTTATTCTTTTTTTTTTAATATTTTATGTATTTATTTGGCACAGAAAGAGTACAAGCAGGTGGAGGGGCAGGCAGAGGGAGAGGGAGAAGCAGGCTCCCCGCTGAACAAGGAGCCCGAAGCTATGTGGGGCTCATCCCAGGACCCTGGGATCATGACCCGAGCCGAAGGCAGATGCTTAACGAACTGAGCCACCCAGGTGCCCCAATTCCTCTTATTCTTAATATAAAGACTCTTTACCGTGACCTACAAAGTTGCATATAAGCTACCTTTGTCCTCCTCTCTCCTTTTATCTTCTGCCCCTCTCCCTCTTACCACATTTCAGCAACAATGGCCTTCATATCAGGCCCTGGAAATAATCAAGTTATTTTCCACCTCAGGACCTTTGCACATGACACCATCCACGTATGCCTGAAATGACTCTTTGGTATTGGTACCCACTCTCTTAACAATGCTTTAGATCTCAGCTTAAGTGTCACTGTCCCAGAAAAAATTAACCTCACTCATTAAGATGGTCAACTTTTCTCTGTTATGTCCTCTCATCACACTCTAATTTTCCCTCATGGCATTTTTAAAACTTTGAAATTACATGTTTATTTGTGGGATTATATAATTAATGTCTAGCTCAACCATTAAACTATGAATGAAATCAAGGCAAAGACTGTTTATTCTGTTTATTGTGGTATCCGAAGTAGTATTAGTAAGTGCTCGGTAAATGTATGTTTTTGGAATAAATAAAGTTAGCTACTAAGGAAGCTTCTTCAGTACTATCAACTGAATTGTGTCCCCTCCCCCCAATTCATATGTTGAACACTTAGGCCCCGGTGTGACTATATTGGGAGATAGGGCTTTTAGGAGATAATTAAAGTTAAATGAGGGTATAAGAGTGGGTCCTACTCTGATAGGATTGATGGTTTTATAAGAAGAGGAAGAGAGAAGGCACTCTCTCCCCACCACATGGTGAGAAAGTGGCCATTGGCAAGCGAGGAAGAGAGCTCTCACCAGAAAATGAATTGGCCAGCACCTTGATCTCGGACATTCCAGCCTCCAGAACCGTGAGAAAATAAATTTCTATTGTTTAAGCTACCCGGTCTATGGCATTGTTATGGCATTGTTATGACCAATACACTCAGACATCAGCCTTCGTTAAAGCCACTTTATGATCCGAATTACAGCCATTTGCTTCAGAAAAAAATAGATCTCACAGACAAGTCCTGCCTAGATTTTAGAGGCTATGTATGACTTCTTGAAATCCCCAAGGCTTGTACTCAAAGAGAAATTCCCTTCAGGACACGGTACACCCTGGTGCCTACTGTAAGCATGAAGCCCTCCCTTCCAAAGAGCTCCACGGATTAACTTGGTTTCACATTCCCCAGAGCAGCAGCCAAGTGCTGAGGCCCATATTCCCCTTAGTCCAAGTACTGGGGGTCATCACAGTAGGTGCTCGGCGCTTTGACCTCACTCAGAAAAGAAGAGGTCATGAGGTTGAAGGCAGAAGAGTGGGGCAGCTGAAGCTCTTCAGTATCCATGTTCAAAGGTTGAAAAGTCTCTCACAATCTGTGATGTACACAGAGAACCCCCCCCCCTTCACAGGTTTGGCACTCACCCATTCCAGAGAAATGTGGACAGAGAAGGATCTTGGCACCTTGCCTTGACCTCTGAAAACCCTCCATTTTGTGGATTCTGATAAGCCCCAAGCAGTAGGAGACAGAAGGTGGGCACAGCTGGAGCAGCTCTTTGATCAAGAGCCAACATGGTGACAGGAGGTGGCAGCTGCGTGGGACAGCCAACCTGAAGGGGGTGCGCTACCCACAGGTTAGGGGAGAGGGCTGGCTTTCTGAAGTCAACGGACATGGAACATGTAGGTAGTAGAGTTGTCCTGATCAACAGAAGACAAGGACACTCACTTATCTTACCCAGCAGAAGAATTAGGAAGATCGTGGTCTTTGCTCTCCTAGGTCTTGCAGATACCTGTGACAACAGGTTTTTGTGGGGAATATGCTGTCGTGTGGTCAGAATCGGGGGCCACTTTAGAAAGACACAGAGAAAACAACTGAACTGAAGGAAAAGAGGAAAGAAAACAAGGGAGGAAGGTGGCTAGGAAGTGCCTAAGTTCTTGGAATTGAAGGTGGAAAATGGCCTTTGAATTCCCAGGTGTCCTTCTGGCCCTGCCAGGCAATGGTTTCTAACGGAGATGTTAGGGGGAGAGTGGACACTGCTGATGACCCAGCCAATGGTCACTTTTCTGTGCTGTTACCCCAGCCCCAGACACAACTGAGGCAGATCCCAACCTACTGGGTATCTACCCCAGCTCCTTAGAGACCCACATGATCTTCTGCAGTTCTTAATCAGCCCTAAGGCATACTCAGGGATGTGACTCAGCTTGAGAACCCCAATACCACCCCAAATAATGAAGATATTAGTAATAGTCACTAACAGGGCGCCTGGGTGGCTCAGATGGTTAAGCGTCTGCCTTCGGCTCAGGTCATGATCCCAGGGTCCTGGGATCGAGTCCCGCATCGGGCTCCCTGCTGGGCGGGGAGCCTGCTTCTCCCTCTGCCTCTGCCTCTCTCTCTCTCTCTCTCTGACTCTCATGAATAAATAAATAAAACATTTAAAAAAAAATAACAGTCACTAACACATATAAGTGCTTAATGTATGCACAACACTAAATACTTCCTCACTTAATTTTCATAACGATCTTATGACATTAGTACTATTTTTATTCCTGTTTTGCATTTTGGGAAACTAAGTCTTAATTAAGTCATTTAATCAAAGTATAAAGCTAGGAAGTAGGAGAGCCAGAACTCACACGCAGATGATACAAAATTTATGGTTTTAACCACTCTATTTTACTAAGATGTCCCACTTTATTGTAGAATGTCCATGGCCCCCTGTCAGCTTCCAGCTTCCTGTTGATTTAGAAGCAATCTGACTAACCCATCCACCCTGACAGGAGAGAGTAACCATTTGGTAGAGCTGCCTAGTCTCCAGGCTTACTGGGGTGTCCTGGCTGCCTGATGCAGTCTCCCACCTGAATATTCTCCTTCCCATCAGTTCAGTTTGACAAAATTCGCAAAAGCCAATGGTTTGCCAGGCTAGGCACTAGACATCGATGGGCAAAATGAAAAGTAAGACACAGGCTTTGCCCTCAACAGTACAATCCAGCAGGGGTGGATAGCTGCACGGATAGGCACTTTTACTATAGGAAGTGAAGGTACACGCAGAATGCTGTGGGAACATGAGGAGGGCACTGAGCCAGCTTGGGAATTCAGGGAGTTCTGAAGGAAGTGATCCTTGAAATGAGTCTTCAAGCATGAATGAACTTTAGTCAAGAAGAAGAAGGAAGGAAGGAAGGAAGGAAGGAAGGAAGGAAGGTAGGAAGGAAGGTAGGTGGGAGGGATGAAAGGAGGGAGGGAGGGAGATGGGAGGAGAGGGGAAGGGAAGGGAAGGAAAGGGAGGGGAAAGGAAGGAAGACAGACCTTTGAGTCAAAGAGGATAGCCCAGGCAAAGACATGGAGACATGGAAAAGCCTGC